TGCTCATCATTCCCATTTCTTCCTCCTGAGCACATAGGAAGCCATGTCCCAGTTTGCTTGACTCAGGTTGGGGCCAGACAACTGGGTCAGACCAACACGACGTGGGAAGAAATAACTGACACCATTTCCAGCGTTCACTACCCTTCGTGGTTTTCTCTCTCTTAGCTAACCAGCCGGCTGGATGCAGAGGGTCCAGGGGAGGAGTCCAAGGAGGCCCTAGAAGACGGTGCCACAAGACATTAGAAACTAAAATCTCTGGCTCTCTGCTTGCAGGAGAGAGACCAGGGACATCTGCATTGGACTTTACGTGAGAAGCTTTTGGGTTCAGCCAGCCAACTTTTAGGGTTGTAATTCCAGCTAGCATTAATTACACCAACACACATTTATGTAACCTGAGATGTTCACATAATATATACGAGCAATTGCCAATCCTCTATCAATGGACATGTAAATTGTTTCCAGTTTTTCCCTACTACAGTGATGCTACAATAAACATCCTAATGAGGTAGCCTTTTAGACATATTAAACCCTTAAGAGTAGTGTTGGAAATGGAGCAGGCACCTCGCAACTGGCTCGACCTCAGTCAAGTATTTCCCAACTTTTGCTTAATTCAGCTTGAGCTCATCAAGTTGGCTTGGTGCCAGCCGGGGTGACCCTCAAGCTACTCTCTGGCTCAGAATCTCACTTGATGCTAATTCTTTCTGCACAGACCAATTTTTTTTTTTTTTTTTTTTTTTCCTACAGTAACGTTTGCACCTACTTATTTCTTACAGGCTCTGAGTGCCTGTCCCTTTGGACATTTATTTCCTGGGTTTGCCAAGATAGCAGCTTCTCACCAGGCTACACACTCCTAGCTTGTGCATGTCTCCTGTACTCTCATGCTCCATCTATTTATTCAACACGACACCCTAATATGTGCCTGTGTGTGCGTGTGCGGGGGGGGGGGGGCACTGTTCCAGGTACAAGAGAGGAAGCACACCTAAATAAGGTATGAGTATTGTCCCCTCTCATAACAAGAGATGACATTATTCTACCTGTGACATGTGATAAGGGACAGATGAAGTGGGGGGCAGATTCCACGGACACGGAACTGCTTAGAAAATTGGTTTATAACAAAGACATAAAATTGTGCTTTTCTTTATATTTAGGTTACTTATGTAGGGCACACATTAATTTCAAGACTTCAAAATTTTTCTTTCATTAAAGGAGCCTACAAAACTTGATTACAGCTGCAATTACCACTTCAAGGCATCACTAAGTCTTGAAATCAGTCTTTTTTTTCCTCCACCCTGCAGGTGCTAAAAGCAGAGCACAATGCTGGTGAGCTGCTTAAGGGCAACAAAGAATGAAAGGGAAGTGTGAATATACTTTCCCTCTAGGTTTCTCAGTCCAGGCAGTGATTCTCAACTTTTGCATTTACACACTGTAGTAGATGCTGTCTATACCTGGCTCATATCCTTCAGGCCTACCCCAGAGTTTGCTTTCAGAGCATTCTAGTACATGAGGAAGATTGCCTGTGAATGTTGCTCAAGTGCATTCTCTGACTTTAGGAACGTGCTTTTCCCAGCACTGAGTTAGGTACAAGTTCAGGACCATTAACTAATCCTCAAGAGAGAAAGGAGGGGCACCTGGGTGGCTCAATAGGTTGAGTGTCTGACGTCAGCTCAGGTCATGATCTCGTGGTTGGTAGGTTCAAGCCCCACATCAGGCTCAGTGCTGTCGGTGCAGAGCTCACTTGGAATTATCTGTCCCCTTTGGCTCTGCCCCTCCCCTGCTCACATTCTCTCTCTCTCAAATAAACATTAAAAATAAATAACTGGTTTCCTCTCAGTTTTCTCTTAGAGGGTGTTCTCCAAACTCCTTAAGTGTGCTGTAGCATGGTATATAGATGGTCCCCAACTTACAATGGATCAATTTATACTTTTTAGACTTCATGATGGTACAAAAGTGATACGAATTCAGTAGAAACTGTACCTAAAATTTTGAATTTGGCTCTTTTCCCAGGTTAGTGCTATGCGGGACAATCCTTTCCCATGAGGCTGGGCAGTGGCAGGTGCTACAGCTCCTGGTCAACCACGTGATCACCAGGGTCAACCATACTTAAACCATACTGTTCCCATACAGCTATTGGGGTTTTTTTTAATGTTTTAAACATTAAAAGAGAGAGAGAGAGAGAGAGAGAGAGAGAGTGCGCGCGCGTGCACGAGCTAGGGGAGGGGCAGAGAGGGACACACAGAATCAGAAGCAGGCTCCAGGCTCTGAGCTGTTAGCACAGAGCCCCATGCGGGGCTCGAACTTGTGAACTGTGATATCAGGACTTGAGCTGAAGCCGAATGCTTAGCTGAGCCACCCAGTCGTCCCTAGCCATTCTGTTTTTTACTTTTAGTACAGTATTCAATCAATTACATGATATAGTCAATAATTCGTTACAAAACAGGCTTTATGTTAGATGATTTTGCCCAACTGTAGGTGAATGTAAATGTGCTGAGCACGTTAAAGGTAGGCCAGGCTAAGCTATGATGTTTGCACTGGCCTTTTCTGCATTGTCCTTTGTAACATAATTGTCTATGTATTTGCTTGGTTGTTTACTATTTCTCTTGGACTATACCTCCACGAAAACAGGAAGTCACTTTGTTTACCTCTGTCTACCAGTGTTTACGACAGGACTCTCACATGGAAGATACTCTATAAGCGGAGAAAGAGGTCGAGGTTTGGGCTCCTGGCCTCAAACAGCCACCAATTCTTTGCTCATTAAAAGCGTGGAATCTTAACCTCTACGAGGCCACATGGGAAAGCCCAGGAGACAGGCAAAATGACCACATCTACACAGCAGATCCCGGCTCAACTAAACCGTGTGTGTGGGGAAGGTAGAAGAGAACCCATTAATGAATGCAAGAATGTGGGGCAATGACTATACTGAATTTTCACTATTAGGTTAGCAGCTCCTTTCCATCGGGGAACGGGGAATGAGAAAGGTGGCCAAAATCTCTCCCAGGAGTATATACTATTCTGCATGTAATTTCAAGAGAGTAAAACAGAAAAAAAACAAAAACAAAAAACTAGAAACTTCTGAAGCCCGTCCATGGTCCACACAGGTCAACAATCCTAGGTTAAGAATCTATGGTTATGCATCATTCTATTGACACAAACCTTGATCTCTCTAATCTTTACCATCAGGTTTAGCTCTTATCTGATGTATTTAATCATCATCCCTCTTCTCCCTGCAAAAAGAAAGACAACACACGGCAGTAAAGGTGTCAGTAGTAATGGCAGAAACCAGTTTCTACAGCAAGGCCTGGGTTCTTTCAAACTTGGGAAATGGCCCCTCTGCTGTAACCAGAATAGTCTAGGTTCTCAACTCCCACCTGTTGGAATCACGTTACCTTTACGAGGTCCGGTACGAATGCTACCTCCTTCATGAAACGTCCTCCAGTCCCACCAACCAGGTGTAAACCTAACAGTTCCATTTCCGCAGCCCCTAGTTGACTACTTTCGGGGTCGGTGGCCCTCCTCCCACAGAGCTCAGCAGGGGCTTCCAGGGCCTGGCAGGGCCTGGGTGAAGGTCTCTTCCTTAACGACTACTATTGGGTCTGAAATATGTCCAAGAGGGAACGGTTTCGCACCCAGCCCCAAACATGCTGAACCTCTTTTTTTCATTTTGCCGAGCGCGATCAGTTTTCGCCTCAAGAACTTCCCCAGTGGACCTACGTGGTCAACCAGAGAAAACTGAAATTCAGGGAGGTGACACAAAAGTCAAGGCCCTTGAAACGACGCCAAACCAAATGGGCCGAATTTCACTTGCTTAATGGCCCAAGCCGCGGCAGGGGGAAAAAAGCCCAACTCTTCGAGGCCCCCAAGAGGGGTGGTCATTTGAGCTCTGGACCCAATGTTGAGAATGGGCAGGAACTCCCCACCCAGCCCAACAAGGCTACAGAGAGGGCGGCGACAGAGGCTGCAGCGAGCACTTCCGCCTTGAAACAAGCGTCGTCAAACGGTAAGCTTCCCAGTTCCATTGCGTCCCGTAGCTCAAGGCCTTTTCAGCCCAGCAGGCAGGAGTCCACACCCCAAGGCTACCTCACCCAACAGCACCCTCCACCTTCTCCACACCCTGCGGAGCCGTTCGCACGTCTCGAGGGTGTGACGGCTACGCCGTGACGTCACCCCGGAGAAAAGGGCAAACCGAGCAAGGAAGGCACTGGCGATCTTGAAGGAGTCCCGGCGCTGAGAAGCGCGTTGAGAGTCTGGAGGCGGGACTAACTTTGACCGACGTCCACTTCCACCCATTGCCTTTCTGATTCCTTCTCAAACAAACCAATAAATGCGACGACGGAGACGGCAACGTGCCCCAACCGCCAGGAGTGGCTCCGCCCCCCTCCGCTCGGTCGCCCTTTGGCCGCCATGATGAGTGTGGCTACCGCCTTTGTACTACTTTAGGCTCTCCTCTGACTGTCCGATACCCTCCCTAAACTCCTCCCTGAACTCCCTCCTAAGCATTTCTTGCCTCCCACTGTCAACTTCCACCTTTTCGGGATTCTTGCTAGCTCCGTGTATACGCAGCCACGCTTGAGATGGTGGCCGGAGGCGGGGCCGAGGCGGGGCCTTCCCGGCGCGGTGACGTCAGCGCGCTGCGTGTCGGCAGGTGGAGGGAGAAGGGAAAGTTTGGCCCGTGCGTGGGGCTAGGGTGGAGGGCGGGACAGAGGGGTTGGGCCCAGGCGAAAACCCTGTAGCTGCTGCAGCCGAGGCCGAGGCCGGGACCGGGACCTGGGGCGGGTGGGGAGTGCCGGACGCGGAGGAGCAAGAGGCGAGGTCCGCCGGAGCTTCGAGCCTCCGCCGCTCTGTCGAGCGGTGACCCCGCGCCCAGGCGCCGTCCGACCCGTGGCTGTTCCAGAGGCGGTTGGTGGGGGCGCGGCGGCGGCAGCGGTTGGGGGTGGGGAGAGGCGCGGCGAGGAGACGAGAGAGGTCAGCGAGTTTGAGCGAGGATCGCGAGCCGCGCCGCCGTCATGTCCGAGGACTCGAGCGCCCTGCCCTGGTCCATCAACAGGGACGATTACGAGCTGCAGGAGGTGATCGGTGAGAGCTGGCGCGCCGCTGAGGGGGGAGGCGCCGCGCTGGGAGGCGGGTGACACGCGGGAACGTGGGGACCCGCGGGAACTCGGGGAGCGCAGGATTCACAGATATTCGTGAGCGCTCATGGGGCTTGGGGTTTGTAGGGCGCGTGGGTGAGGCTCTGGGTTTGTGCAGCGCGTGCGAGGCGGGGAGGTTGGTTGGGCTGGGGTTTGAGGGGCTCAGGAGAGATTTGGGTAGTGACAGATGTTTGAAGCTGAGCGATGCATGGGTCTGGGAGAGGAAGAAAAGTGCAGGCGCGGACAGGCCCTAGGGAGGCTGTGCGAGAAATGATGGGCGAGTTGTGGGCACAGCCACCTACTTTGGCGATGGTGGGATAGGGGTTTTAGTCCACTCCCGCGCTGGGTGAGCACCCTTGAGTGCCCACCAAGCGCCAAACATTGCTTAGGTGGAGCTGGGGATCCTCTCCAGGTGAAGCTGAAGGTACCGCACCGAGCAGCGTAGACACAACTTCCCACTGTTTGGGACTGACTTTCTGGTAGACATTGAATAACTCGGCAAATAAAAAGAATGACAAGGCTTGGCAAGTGCTAGGAAGGAAATAAACAAGATGTTCTGATAGAGAGTGACCTGGAGACCTAGTTAGGGTGATTTCAAGGAAAAGTCTTTTTCTGAGGCGTTGACATTTAAGTTGAGCCGCTGAAGGAGGAGAAGGAGTCTTAAGATGCCAGGGCAGATTTTTCCCTGCTGAGGGACGAGGAAGTGCAAAGGTCCTGAGGAGGGAAAGAGCTTGATGTGTTTCAGGACCCGGAGGCAAACTGGCAGGGATAGAAAGTGGACCTTCTCAGGCATGGTAAGGATTTTGGAATTTAAGTGTATTGGAGGGATTCAAGCAGAGACATGACATGATTCCACGGATCTGGCTTCTGTGTGTGGAGTAGATTTGAGGTCCAGGAATACCAGTTAGCAGAGACCAAAACTGGCACAAACATGGATTGTAATTCTCAGGCACAGTGATTGGGGGAGGGTGGGGACTTGGGATGAGGGAAGTGTTTGTTGGACAACAATAATCCAGTGACTTTAGAAATCAAAAGAGGGTGGGTTTAGCTAAACAGAAGCTCAATGTAACTGACATGAGCAGACCCCTATGTATTGGAGGAAGGAGATTGTCTACTTTGCCTAGATCAGCATCCTGTCCTAAAATTAGTTTTATAACAAAGACTGGCTGAAAACTCCTTAGCTGCCTTGGGGGTGTGAGTGTTTATTGCAATTTGTATTTTAGAGAAACTTTGTAATTTTTTTCTTTCTTTTTTCTTTTCTTTTTTTTTTTTTTTT